ATAATCAAGGATAAATTGGTAGACATCATTGAGAGATCCGTCGATTACACGATTCCCATAACCATTGTTTATTGTATTTTTCAAACCCAAGTTAGAATTATTAATGGACACTTATCATTTTTAATCCTTGTTTAAGCAAAGCAGAGCACTGCTACAGAGAAAGAGAGAGAGAGAGAGAGAGAGAGAGAATCACCGGCAGTTTACTGTCTGATTAAAAATATCAAGAGGACCAACAATACGCTCTTCCAAGTTTCAAATGTGTGTCTCTCTCTAGCTGTTCATGTGTTTGAGCAAGCTTCCATTAATCATGACTAGCTTCACATTTATGTTCATATAAATAAAGCAAGCTCCTTTCAAGCATATCCACCATTTTGTTTTCTATATTTTAGCAGCTGCCTTTCACTATCAGACATGGTTGAGATTGAGACCTTATGGATAGAGCTTTCACTCACCAAGAGGAAAGAGAGAGAACCCAGCGGCTACAAAATCAACAGCTCAAGCTTTGTCTGCCATTGGTGAGGTTCAGAGGCTTCAACAACCACAACCCATTTTCTATTTTTGGGTTTTGGGCGTCAAAGTTTCTTCGAAACTTGCATTGCAGAGCTCGAATATCTAATTCCTGTTGCTTGGGAAGGCTTCAGTACAATGGTATGGTAGTGAATAACTCTGCATTTTGCGAATCGCCTGGCTTTATTGAAGAAGGAAAAGCTGCAATGGAGGGTTTGGTTGAGAGAAATGAAGGCATTATTGAAGGGAAAAGAGAAGACTTTGGTGAATGTTTGGGTCAAGTTGGAACCCTTGGGGATTTGATTGAGGAGAAGGGTCGTGAAAGCAGTTCAAGTTCAGATTTTTTGACATCTGAGACGACGGGCCATGAGGAACAGAGTCACAGTAGCTCTGATGAAGAGACATCTTCGGCACCCTCATTGGGTTGGCCTATTCAGAAAGCTGAGGCATCAGATTGCACCAGTAAGAAGGGTAGTGAAGCAGCAGAGAGAACCCATTTGGATGATAGGAACCTAGAGAAACAAGGGTCAACAATATCAGGTATTAACTCTGTTTCATTCACACTAAGACACTTGAGGTACATGTCAATTTGATGCTTTTTCCTATTAATAAAAATGGATGATTTTGGTTTATGGGATTGTAGAGACTGAGTTGATGAAGGAAAGGTTTTCAAAATTGTTGCTTGGAGAAGATATGTCAGGTTGTGGAAACGGGGTTTGTACAGCATTGGCTATATCAAATGCCATTACTAATCTTTGTGGTATGCAATTTTAGTCTACTATCTCAATGTGTTCAAACCTAGATTGGTTGATTTGCTCTGTTACTTAACGGAAATTTTGTTATGGATTCATTTGTGGTGATGGTTATTTTTCTTATTCTCTGTTCCCTCTTGTAGCTACCTTATTTGGGCAACTTTGGAGACTAGAACCTCTACCCCAAGAGAAGAAACTGATGTGGCGAAGAGAGATGGAATGGCTTCTTTGTGTGAGTGATCACATTGTTGAGTTGATACCTTCTTGGCAGACTTTTCCTGATGGAAGCAAATTGGAGGTAAATTCTGAGTCCAATAGATTTTAGGAACAGTATAATATCTCTCAGTTTTCAGTATGCACTCCCTTTCGGAAATTATATTATACCGAATCAAGTGACCAATTCCAATGTATAAATAGCAGTGAGGAAACATATGCCAACTTTAATCTTGCTGCATTATAAATGGTGAACTTGAAATGGGCATGGAGCCTTTATACTAATGTAACTGATGTGATACTTTGTGATAAGAAACTACAGTGTAGGGCAATGAAAATGTTGATTAAGGAAGGTACTAAATGATCAGTTTCTTGAAATTGTTCTTACTCATTTACACTTCAATGCAGGTCATGACTTGCAGACCCCGCTCAGATCTTTATGTTAATCTCCCTGCCCTTCGTAAATTGGACAACATGCTTCTTGTAAGCTTCTCAGACACTTCTCTACAACTTAGATCCAGTTTCATGAGTTCCATTCTGAGTTTAGCCATTCCTTGCAGGAAATATTAGATAGTTTTGTCAATACAGAGTTCTGGTATGTTGACCAAGGGATTCTAGCCCCAGATGCTGATGGGTCATCCTCTTTCCGAAGAGCCTTTCAGCGTCAAGAGGAAAAGTGGTGGCTACCTGTGCCACGAGTTCCTCCTGGTGGACTCCATGAAAACTCAAAAAAGCAACTGCAGCACAAACGCGATTGCACAAGCCAAATATTAAAAGCTGCCATGGCTATTAATAGTATTACTTTAGCAGATATGGAAGTGCCGGAATCATATCTGGAAGCTCTTCCAAAGGTTTGAAACATCCTCTAGGTTCCAGTGATTTGTAATTACAAAGGCATGGTGCTAAACTTTTGCTTTAACTTGGTTTCAGAATGGAAGAGCAAGCTTAGGGGATCTTATTTATCGATACATTTCATCAGATCAATTCTCTCCTGAATGTCTGCTTGATTGCCTTGATTTGTCCTCTGAACATCAAGCCATAGAGATTGCCAACAGAGTGGAGGCTTCAATCTATCTGTGGCGCAAAAAAGCAAATTCAAAACCCACAAATAATGCAACCAGATTTAGTTCAAGGTCATCATGGGAAATGGTTAAGGAGCTGATGGTTGATGCAGAGAAAAAGGAGTTGCTTCCGGAAAGAGCAGAAAGTCTCTTAATGTGCTTGAGGCAACGCTTCCCTGGTCTTCCACAGACAGCCCTCGATATGAGCAAGATTCAGTACAATAAGGTTCCAACTTGGTCCCAATCTAAAATTTGTTCTCATTTTTGTATCAATTTCTTCTTTACTTTGTACTTAACTGGTTGAATATGATATGTCTAGGATGTTGGGAAATCCATCTTGGAGAGCTACTCACGGGTTTTGGAGAGTCTGGCATTTAACATTGTGGCACGTATTGATGATCTGCTATATGTAGATGACCTGACCCGCCATTCTGATAAGTTCTCATCAATCTCCAAAGTTAGTATCATTTCACACAAGAGCACTCCTAATCCATACTCAGTGCCCATCTCAAGCACTCCATACAAAACAGCTTTCACCACACCAAGCTTTTCACCTGGACAGCTAGTTAGCCCTCTCAGGGGGGACAGATCACCATTCATCACCAGTGGCAAGATTCCTCAGCGTGGATTGGGCGTAAAAAAGGTCTTGACTGATTATCTGAGTATCGATGCGAAAGGAAAGGACTACAGCGATCCAATCGAGAAACCAGACTCTGTATTGAACACAACGCAAGAGACGCTGGGATCTCAAATGGGAATGGATTCTTACCAGTGTACAAAAGCATCAACAAGCCCGGCATCGCGGGATTCAATCACACAAGAATGAATCCAAAAGCCAGTTGCCCATGAGTGTTCAGCTGCTTGAACTAGCTCCTTTGTGTTTGCTTTTTTTCTTAGACATAGGAGGACATCAGAGAGTGGGGAAGGCTCATTGTTCATTAAGGCTGTTGACTCTTGCTAGAACAAGATGTCTGCCATGGTGATGAGTTGAGCGGTTCATATTTAAATGTGCAGCTCTCTGTATTACAGTTTCGAGTTTGTTCCCGCGTCACTGTTTGACATGGATCAAAGAGTGATTGTAAAGAGAGAACTAAGAAAATCCTACACTGTTTTGGATAGAAAATATGAATTCTTATTATTTTCTTCTCATGCAGTGGATATTGATAAAATTCAGTGCAAATATGTTCAAGTGGGTGCATATTAGCAGACTTTTCTCTTGTAATTTCTGGAATCGGAATATTCATGACTTGGGTTTGGCACTCAGTGTTCAAACTTGGTGGGCATTTTGCATGAGCTAAGATATAGTCAATTTTCAATAGAATTATGCATATCCGTGACTTGGGTTTCTGAGCAAACATGATGAGCGATCATACACTGCATAGATAATGGGCTATACTTCCCACGAAATCCTACAAAAGCTTTGTGTTGTTCGGTGTTCTCAACCAAACCAAAGACGGCAAAAGAAATGAAGAAATGCGAAAAAAAGTTGAAAAAAGTTGAAAAAAGTAGGGGCATTCCGAGAATTGAACTCGGGACCTCTCGCACCCTAAGCGAGAATCATACCACTAGACCAAATGCCCACATTTGATACGTTAAGCAATACGATTTTTTATAAAGAAGGACGTAGAATCATATTTCAGTATACCCGGCCTACGATGTTGTGAATTTCCACATCAGCCCTTTAGAAAAACACTTCTATTTTGTGGCATAGAGGGTTTTACCCGTTAAATATTCTGAACAAAACCATTATGAAAATTCTAGTACAATTTCAGACCAAGAAAAGAAAATTCTAGTACAACATACAAAATAAACTGGACCATTAATTAATTTTTAATTTTTTTAGAACCTTTCTTATTAAGAGGGGCGCTATATTAAACTCACACACACTGCACGGATGCTAGGACTCGAACCCACGACTTTGCCTGAGGACCATTGAATTTTTAGGTTGTTGTTATAACTATAATAACACACAATACTGAAATCTAGTACATGTCCACAGAAACAAACCAATTCTTTTTAATGGGGATGTATACAACAGCAGAGAAGCAAGCAAGAACTTAGAACTATATTTTCTCATCTCATTTTGGGCTATTTGGCATAGTTGGTTGGCTCTAATTCTGAGCTTAGAGCAAGTGATATTATCTGGTAAGCCAACTTTGTAATTGAATTCTGTCAGAAATTATGCCTTGTTGTAATTTCAAAGAAGAGAGTTATCTGGTTAAGTGGCTCAAAAGTTATTTCATGTTGGAAGATTAATCTTAGTGTGGTAGTTGGTAACACGTATTCACAGATAAGAAGAGGCCTTGCCAAGGTCGGCAATGGAGTTTTGGAGAATTGGGGTGAGGTGTCTTAACAACAAGGCCTCTGAGCTTCTTCACTGTCAGTAATGGCCACATCTAGAAGGAGAGTGAGGACAAGAAATCAATTATATTTATATTGAATACTGGAGTTAAGGTGAGACACATAACGCACAAACCAATTTGTGTAGCCAAAAGTGCTGCATAAAAAAGTTGTTCTGGTTCTAGTGCTACTTCCATTAGGGGTAAGTGGATGAATGGAAAACCCACATTTTCTGCTCTGATTCCAGTATAAAAAGGCTGATCCTATAATCAGATTTTTGCATTGTGGCATTGTGAGAGCTAGAGAACACTTGACTAAACTTCCAGCTTGTGAATTGTGAACTTGTGAGGCACAAAAAAACAAAAATGGAGGCTCCAATGAAATTCATTTGCATTCTGGGATTGGTTGCAGTTATATGTACTAGCTGCCTTGAAAGGGTTGATGGGGCTAGCGCATGTGGAAAATCTAGCCCAGATGATGAGGCCATCAAGCTTGCTCCTTGTGCAAGTGCTGCACAAGATGCAAACGCTCCTGTTTCCAGTGGCTGCTGCCAGCAGGTGAAGAGATTGGGCCAAAACCCTAGCTGCCTCTGTGCTGTTCTGCTCTCTGACACTGCCAAGAACTCTGGTGTCAAGGCTGAGGTTGCCATTACCATTCCCAAACGCTGCAACTTTGCCAACCGCCCTGTTGGCTACAAATGTGGACGTAAGTAATTGTGATTTGTCTGTAAAGAAGAATGACTCGTTACTTGTACAAGGCCAAGTATTTTTATTTTATTTTATATTATTTTGTGACTAATGTTCTAATGCAATAATAATGCTAATGTTGCAGCTTACACACTGCCATGAGTGGACAAAAAGAGAAGGTGAAGGCTACTAGCGTCAGTAAATAGGAGATTACTGCTTGGATTTGGCAATAAAAAGCTAGTAGCATATAATTGTAGCATGTATGTATTGTAATAAAAAGCTTGGATAATAATTATAAAAAAAAATTATGCAAATTTCAGTGTGACAAGTGCATGTGTGTGATCAATAATTGCGCAGAAACCAAATAATTATTTTGCTAAAAAGGCAAGGAATTTGTAAGCCCCTGGTTACTGGGACCCAACAAGTGATATGTTCTAAGGTTTGAAATGAATGATTGGACCATTGGTGGAGACAAACATTCATTGTAAACATCAAAATCAGATGATCCAATTACTTTGTAAAAGCGTGGCTGAAGAATCTCCATCCATCCACACCAGCAGCAGCAAGAAATCTTCCTTAACGACCATGGAAAGCAAATATCCTACCAGACATGGGATAAGGACTGCTTTTAACCTGTAAGGTCATGTTTGGATAGGGAATAATTAACCTCGACCCAAAAATCAAAAGCAGATTGATAGATATAAAGATATATAATTCTGGTTGATGGGCCACACTGTCTTTGAAGAGAGATTTGTTAGTTTCTAGGACGTGGCACTAACAATGGAATCTAAAATTTTGAGGTAAGGAGGAAACTGAAGGGCAGTGTCATAAACAAGAACAACTTTTTTGACTGTTTTGAGGGCCAAAGGCATAAATCCAAACAAACATCCATGTGTTTGTTTGACCATGTCACGGGCACATAAGAAGAAGCAGTGTTCAACTAGGGCATCAACAGGGAAAGTCCGAAAAAGAAAGATGAGAGAAGAAAAAATGGGTGAACCAAAAAAGAATAAAGGCATCTTAGACTTGTGCAGCAAGAGAGAACGTGAAGATAGGGTAACGTTCTCTTATCAGATTTTTATGTTTCGAGACTGTAAATTAGAACCACACGTTTTGTAGTCCACATACACCGTCTTTGAAAGGTGACAACACCATGACTAACTTCCAGATTTTGATGCGTGCCATCAATTAGATTCTGTCTTAGGTAACGAATTTGATGGACCAAAGAATTACAATACAAACTATCCATCCATCCATGGGAAAACATAACAGAAAAACCAATAATAGCGCTAAAGAAAACATGCAATTACGAGTTCATACATACATATATTATATATTAAACACAGCTAAATTACTCATATCCAAATCTTCAACCACAGTAGCAGTAGTTGAAGATAAAGGACAAGTCACTAGACCAAACATCCTTTACAAAAGGAGACCACTTCATCATTCTTTACACTGATACTAAATAAGATGCATATATATAGAGAACTATGGTTTCATATGACTGTTGTTGGGCTGGACTGGAGCAAAACAAACCAGCTGCACACAACGATCTGCTGCTGCTACGTACCCTATTTCCTATATATCTGCAAAGCATATGCACACACAGATGCTTAATTAGAAAACATATCCAAATAAAATTGAGGTGAAAGTAAAAAAGAGAAGAAAAATGAAGATGCCACCGACAAGAAGTGCATCTACTATTCCTAGTATTGTTTCAGAAACTTAGAAATAATATACCTTGATGAGTATATGCCTCGGCAAGTGAGCCCTTAATAATAGAGAGACCCTATAGATGAAAAAATTCATAAGAAAAAACAATGTCAGAATAGTACATACAGATTCCCAGTAAGGCAGTTTATGCACCTCCTGTACAGAAGTTGAAAATATCATACCTTGCCACCAGTTTCCTCTACAAGCACTTCCAGAATCATCTTCAGTCCCATCTTTCTTGTACTGAAATAATCATAAAATATAATTATCAGGCTCCGGAATTAAGATCAACCATAATCTACTGGAATTTCCAGGATATGAGAGAGAGAGAGAGAGAGAGAGAGGAACTATCTCATGTCCAAAGTTCACACACTGTGTTTGCATTATTCCTGGGGAAATTTTTAAAGAATCTTATTCACATAGTCAGATGGTAAAACCAACAACTGTTAAGGAGGAAAAAACAAAAAGCTAAACAAACAAAGATTCTCACCATAGAGTTAAATCCAGGGCTCTGGGTACTCTGAGGGTGAGAATAAATATCTTGGCCACCATAATAGATTGAAGAGCTGAGGTGACATGGTTGCTGTACTCTCTGATCCTGATAGAAGGAACTCATGTCCTGATTTGGCATGCTCTGACTCTCACCTTCACTGCCATTAGAGTCACCAACTGCAGCAACATCAGAGTAACAGAAGCAGACAACTTTCAAACACACAACACAATTCATCTCTTAACCGGTCAATAAAACCAGGAATCATATGATAAAAAAAAAACAGGACAACCCAAAGATACATCTTTTATTTGGGGGAAAAAAACATCTAAGGAGGAATATGCATAAGATCCACATCAGTGAAGAAAGGACCACCACCTTTCATGGCTGGCATGCAGCGAGAAGCAATCTAAACAAGATTGTAACAGATACAAGCTTTGGCCATGAGAAAACCAACAGTTATACAAGATAGAAAAACCTTACAAACCTGGCTCTCCAGGTTTGACGTGCAATGGTTCATCCGTAAGTTTTTTCCCAGTGACTTCAGAACGCAGAGATTCCCTCCCTAACACCTTCATGAACACCAAGACAACTTTCTCTCAGAACTTGGTACAACATAAAATAAATAAATATACACATACACTTTACAGAATCTAGTAAAGGTCAGCCAGAGAGAGAGAGAGAGAGATTCCAATAACAAAAGTTTTTTAATTTAATTTGCAAAAGAACTTGCGAGTTTATTGTGGAATATGGTTTAAAAGCTCAGAGGGGAGATGAAACAAAATATTTTCCAAAGAACAAACATATCCCAGCATTATATAATTCTAAAGCCCTTCGTTAAAAGAGCTAATGCAATCTCTCACTAAAAATAAATAAAAATCTTGTCTTGATGATGCAAATCCACTTCTTTTTTTTTTATATCAGACAGAAATCTCCCAATTCAGCAAATATGAACTTGCAGATGACGATTGAAGGCCTTCACCCAATTTCGGAAAAAAAAACAAATATATGGATAAACCCCAGGAAGATTTTACGAGCAGAAATGCAAAACAGGCACCCAACAATATAAAATCAAACAAAAGGCGACAGCTTTAACCGATATTCAATTAAGAAAAACAGAGACAACATTAGAACTCCAATAGCATTAAACAGAAAACAGTCAAGAACCCTCAAAATCCAAAGAAATACCGTAAAATGCTAAGATAGCAATCAAAACCCAATTAAATAATTGAAGACAAAAATTAAAAAAACAGATAAAGATTTCAGAGATTCAGAAAACAATAAAAAGACAAGAACTTGAACAGGGGAAAAGCAATACCAGTTCCTTGGAGGAAGGCGCAAATATAGCCCCGAAAATCCCAGATGAAGATGACGACTCCTTGGACCCGAAAAGCTCAGAAGTAAAGGAAGAAGACGACCCAACTTGCTTTCTCCCCTCCATTTATCTCCCTGTATCGTTATATAAACCTTGAGAGCCTCTCTGTTTTATATCTCAGCAGAGTGCTATGAATATGTATGTGTATATATAATTATAATGAACCGAAGCACCGTCAAGCGAAGCTTAGCAAATAGGAAACCGCTACAGAATTTGTTTGTGCTAAGAAACAAAACAGAAGGCGCGATACAGACAGAGCAAATCGAATAGAAAAAACGGAGAGAAAGGGAGAGACACGTGAAAGATCAAAGCGATATCGAGTAAAAACGAAACCGTCGCTCCCACCCAATTTATAAGCCAAAAAGGACGCCTGCTCAATTTGAAAATTTTCGATTTTTATTAAATTAAATTAATTAAATTTAATGTAATTATTATATATTTGGTATGATTTTCTCCCTCGGTGTCTCAGCCTACGTTCTCTCTCTGTTTCTATTTTTATTTTTGGTTTTCTTTCTCTCTTTCTTCCTTCCTTCCTTCAACCTGTCGAAGAGAGTTACAGATTTGCGCCACGTGGGATAGGCAGTCCTTCCTGTGGGCCCTCCAAAAAAAGTCCCAACCTTTTACCGCCACGAGAACCCTAGTGGATAATAACAACCCTACCCTACACAAGCCCATTACTGACTTTTCACGTACTACTCTTTTGGACAAATGAAATATACAGTTTATAAAGAGAGAGCCAGACCTTTATGACCTTATCTTTTTATCTTGTCGGACCAAAACAGAGACGGGTCTTCTTCTCTACTTCCCCACCTTTTTTAACCTCATGCTTGGTATTTTGGAAGTTGGAAGTTGGAAGTTGGCAGTTATTTGGATACACGATTCACAAGATTTTGTTAGACAATTTAACATTATAACATTATGATAGATCTCGTTCATTAAATATGTTATGTTATTCGACTGTATAATGATATAATCAATCAGATGAAACTGCATTCAAAACTGCGATCTTAATTCACGACTTTGAAAGAACTCTTATTAGCACTCGAATCGGATCATTATGTTTTCATCCCATTTAAAAATGTAATATAACAAATAAATTGTACTTTTGATCACCGGATTATACAATTTTTGATGTGACAAATAACTACCTCCTTTTGCCAAATAACATATTTATTGTATGGTAAAAGAGCATTTCTCTTTGAAAACCAATAATTTATAATAATGTGGCTCAAATATCGGTAAGCAAAACATGAGAGTTCTAGCGTCAACGTTGAAGTCGGTGAGAAATGGTAGAACTTTCAGAATTTTGAGTAAAAAAAGAGAAAATTAATCCGATCTTTTGTGATTGGATGAGAAAGTTTGAGACCATCGTTAGAAGAAAAACTTTCTTGTAATGGGAATAATACTGTTTTGTTATTTTTGACCAATAATGCAATAACACGTAAAAAAGTTATCCCGCTTATCATTGCGCTTTTAGCCAGAATAACAAAAAGTGATACTCCCATTGCAGGAAAGTTACTCTACACTATTAGGGTGATGAACAGTGAGCCTAAAAAATCTAATGCCAAATCACAATGGTTTGATGTGTATCGAAAGGTACTCTACACTATTAGGGTGATGAACAGTGAGCCTAAAAAATCTAATGCCAAATCACAATGGTTTGATGTGTATCGAAAGGTACTCTACACTATTAGGGTGATGAACAGTGAGCCTAAAAAATCTAATGCCAAATCACAATGGTTTGATGTGTATCGAAAGGTACTCTACACTATTAGGGTGATGAACAGTGAGCCTAAAAAATCTAATGCCAAATCACAATGGTTTGATGTGTATCGAAAGGTACTCTACACTATTAGGGTGATGAACAGTGAGCCTAAAAAATCTAATGCCAAATCACAATGGTTTGATGTGTATCGAAAGGTACTCTACACTATTAGGGTGATGAACAGTGAGCCTAAAAAATCTAATGCCAAATCACAATGGTTTGATGTGTATCGAAAGGTACTCTACACTATTAGGGTGATGAACAGTGAGCCTAAAAAATCTAATGCCAAATCACAATGGTTTGATGTGTATCGAAAGGGTATTGATTGATTGATAATGTTGATGATGGGGCATGGGAAAGGGGCCACATGAAAGAAGTCACAAGGGCCAAAAACGACACAAGTTCGAGTGTCGAAAAATGGGAAAGGACATGGCAGGTGGAGTCGTGGGTTGGGTACCACTGAGGAGGGTCGCCGCGTGGTGTACGCGTGTTCAATTTTAGACCACATGGATTGTCACCGTCCTATAAACTCCACCCTCAGCATTTCATATTTTTACATCATATTCATTCAATAATTATTTGAATTTAGTGTTATGAGACATATCTAATAATCACATGCTTTTTTTACGATGATCAGTGGCGAAACTAGAAATTTATTAATATAAAGTCGCGAAAAAAGTTTACGAAATTGAATATGAGCAAGCGTGCTTAGTATTCTCTTAAAAGAAAATCATAAGTGAGAAAATTGCATACACTCAAAGTTTATACAAGAAAATTGAGTTCATCTTGATTACGCGTGTTTAGTGTACATAAATCATTCAATATGTTTAATGATAGTTCTTATATATTTGACCTCTTAGAAAAAAAGAATCTAATATTTTTAGTGGAAACTAAAAAAAGGATAAATCTAGCCAACGAGGTCTAGTTTAGTGAAAAAGGGCATTGACATATAGTGGTCTTCGGTTAGAATTCTAATAACACCGTAGTAGTGTGTGTGTGAGAAACCTCCCTCCCTCTATCACTTTGTACTTTAAAAATAGAATAATAAATCTAAGCTGTAAGGTTTGGTTGGAAGGTAATACACACCACTTGCCATTGAAATATTTTATGCCTTATATATGGGTCTTAATTATTTACCATATAGGAAACTGTTTAAGTTTTTACACTTGAGAGATTCATAGAATCCAGGCATAATGACCGGAAAATGCATGTACACGAAATGCAATAAAGGAAAAATCAACCTAAATTGTGAAGGTTAATCCGACCCAAATATAATAAAGTATGGAATTTAAATTATTTGTTGTCGCCTGATTTATAAGAATTAAGAGATGCCCTACATCTCACTCGTTTTGTGTGGTAATGACTGCGACAAAAACATCGTATTATTTCTCGAGTTATAATTATATTAATTTCCAAATCGCTTTTGCTGGATTTTATAATTGAGTTCAGACGAGAAAGATTGGCTACCTAATCATTACGTTACAAATAGTCAACTTAATTAAAACATTTCAAGTCTTCTAGTTCGGCAGAGTTTGTAAGAAATCTTAAAGTACTCCCTCTTCTGTGGCTTAAATGGTAGGAGGAGGAAGAAAAAAAAGTCCCAACTAATTCCATATGTGCACGTAAAGAAATTCCTAGAAATAGAATTTTACTTTGCAACAACCATCTTTTCTCTAATTTCCTTTTTTGAATATAAGCGATCATCTAAACCACACAGGTTGGGGGTTTCTCATACACATTGTCAAAGTATTTAAACATAAGACAACTAATATGCAAATCAATACCTTTTTTCACTGGGCTAGACTTCATTGGTTTTCCTTAATTTTTATTTTGGGGTCTAGTAAAGAAAATCCTTGATGCACTTATTTTCAAAATAAGAGAAGAACTCTCGTAACTCATTCTCTTTAATATAGGTGATTAAAGTAAACTCTAAATACGTGCAAACATATCATTATATATAAGTTTACAATTCACCCCAATAGCCAGAAAACCAGAAAACCAGAAAACCTTAAACCCTATGTGAGTGAGCTTGCTAAATAGACATGTAAATTGGAATTGTTGATAAGAGATGAGGGTGGATAAGGTTGTAACACCAACAACATCATGTGCATGTAATTATATATAAAATAATACGAGGAGAAGGAGAACAATCAGAAAACGGCACTGCTTATGAGCCAAGCCAATGAAACCTGTCTCATGGATAAGAACAAAAGCAAAAGAGAGAGAAAAAAAGTGCAAAAATTCAAAGAGACCCACGTTAAGAACATGATATCATTGGCCCACATAAGCTCTTTGCTAACATACATCACTGCGAGGGTCGCGTGTTCTAAAGTAGGCTCCAGTTTTTGGATTTGGCTCCACTTTCTTTCACTTCTTTTCTCTTGTTGTAAAGTTTCTTTTCTTTTTCTTTTTCATAATCCTATCTAATCAATTTCTTGGCTGAAAAATAGAGAGCCTTAAAATGCTATCATTATTATGCTCTAGATGTTTAAATAATACAGAAGATTCGTATACTAAAATGGAAAACCAAAATAACTCATAAGAAATAGATTATGACAAAAATATTCGAAGAAATGTTATGACAATAAAACATTTTTGTGTGTCTTTCAAAGAAGTTTGTGTATACGCAAAGTCTCTATAATTGGTAGAAGAGATCTCAAGTTCGTTCGTCCTCTCGAAAGATTGAAAAAACACAACTTCATTAAAAAAGTAGATATAAATAAAAACCATCGGCTCCCTGTTAGGTGTCATTTTCATTACATTACACATGTTTTTCAATTATAAAGCATGGCCAATGCCATGGTATCGACATTTTGCAATCAGTCCTTGCACTAAACTACAAGTCTTTCTGTAGCTTACTAAAATAAAGCATGCATTGATTTGAACTAGTATTTCACGATATTTTGCCACGAATAGAAAAGAAGCACAGATTCTGAAAGTTATTATTAGGGGGTGTGGGGACTGAGCCAGCCAGCCCACTGAGGTGGTTGGTAACTTGGTATTGGCTGGTGCTGGTCTATATCAGGAATCAGTGGGCCTTCTTAGTTAGAGTTGAGTCAAGCCCAACTGGGTTCGCTTGCAGATCAATTTCTTAGCAGAACTAGATTAACTCGAAAGAAATTTTGATATCAAACTCCTTGTTTATATACATGTTTTCCTGCCTCTTGCACCTGGAAGAGAAAAAGAAACTGGTACTTTTTCTTTGAGTTAGTAACTAAATATGTCAAATACAACTTCATTTTGCTTGAGAGACATTTGTTCCTTCAACTATTAGTGGAAATTCATTTTAACTTCCGATTCTGTGTAACTACTGGAATCCTTCATCAAGTTTTGATCTGCATGGTGATCTGTCAAAAATTTGACAGTTTGTTCAACTTTTTCCTTCAACTATAAGTGGAAATTCATTTTAAGTTATGATTCTTGTGTAACTACTGGAACCCTTCATCAGGTTTTGATCTGCATGGTGATCTGTCAAAAATCTGACAATTTGGTTAACATGCTTTGAATGTCAACATCAAGTTTCTTACCCTTATTAAAGTACTATTTAAGATTCAAGCACCCTTGTTTTGATTACTGAAGTGTTCGCAAACACTGGAATGACCTCGAATGGAAATGGCTTCCATTTTTTTCACTCACATTCTATATAAGTAAACGTGCCATTAATAAAAATCATCCGTTCCCTATAAAGTGTCACGCTCATTACATTGTACATATTCCTGGCACTTCAACATGTCACACTTCAATTATAAGCATGGCCAAGGCATCGACATTTTGCCATCAATCCTGCACCAAACTATAAAATGAAGGCAGGCAATGATTTGAAATAATTTTATTTTTTTTGGGTCTGATGATTTGAAAGTTTTGTGGTGCCAATAGAAAAGAAGTACAAATTCTTAAAATTATTACCAGGGTGGTGGGGGCTCAGCTAGCCAGCCCACTGAGGTTGAATCCATATGAGGAATAAGTGGGCCTAATTAGTGTTGGATTAAACCCACCTAATTATTGGGCCTTTATGAGTGGCCAATTCAAGCCCTTTGTTGAAATCAAATGAACATCGTTGTTTATATAAATGAGCAAGTTATTGTCATATTATACAAGCGAGATGTGAGTTAGGTTAGTTGGTCAAGTTAGTGATTCCGTATTCTTTGCACTCAAGTTCAAATCTCCTTTTTCATAAATTAGATTGATTAAGAGTAATTTAGATATTGCTTGTTGTACTAAAAAAAATTAATGAGATCTAGCCTAGTGAAAAAGGATATTGACTTGCTTGCAGACTAGTGGTTTTAAGTTCGAACCCACATGACACTTTAGGCCATTTCCAGCAGCCCCCTAGGGCTCGGGCTGGGGGGGTGGGGGGGGTAAAAGGCCAAAACTCATTTCCAGCAACAAAAGCTAGCCCGGGCAAGAGGTGGGGTCCACCAGCCTGGGCTGGCCCGAAGGCAGAAACAGCCCGAGTGCTAGCCCGAAGGCGCTGCTGACGCCAGCGTGATGTCAGCAGGCGCAATTCAAATTAAAAAAAATTTGATGCGCGCGCGTCAGCTTTTCCCCAATGGTCATACGCCACGTGGCAGCTTCTGGTCCTTCCGATTGCTTTTGTCATCCAATCCAACGCCCAGAAATTTTTCAAGGCCAAAAATTATGAAAAAAATTTGGAAAAAATTAAAAAAAATTCTCAAAAATTACTGAATTTTTTTCTATAAATACCAATCAATCCTCTTCATTTTTAACCACAAATCCTCATACATTTTCTCCTCCTCCAACTATTATTCACTTTCTACTCCGTATTTTTTTCACTTTCAAGTTTAATTTTTCTCTATCATATTATGGCTTTTTCTCAAGAAACCGGAGGGGCATGGAGCACCATGGAAGATGTCTTGTTGTGTGAGTGTTGGATCCAAATTAGTCATGATCCCATATCGGGTAATGAGATGAAATTCAGTCAAATGTGGAAAAAAAATTCATCGTGAATTTGTTGAAAGATCGGGTTCCACCCGTACAGAAATGGCATTGTCTAGTCGGTGGAAAATTCTCAACAAAGAGTTGGGGAAATGGAGAGATGCCCTCACTAAAGCGATGGATAACCAAAGAAGCGGGGAAAATCTAAGCGATGAGGTAAATTAAGTGGAAAATTTTCAACAAAGAGTTGGGGAAATGGAGAGATGCCCTCACTAAAGCGATGGATAACCAAAGAAGCGGGGAAAATCTAAGCGATGAGGTAAATTATTTGTAATTTTCATTATATCAATTTTAATGTCCTATTAATTTTAATTTAAATGTTTCATACAATTTGTATATTTTGTTAATATTTCTTGTATTTCCATATTTATTTAAATGTTTCTTGCAATTTTTATATTTTGTTAATATTTCTTGTATTTCCATATTTATTTAAATGTTTCTTGCCATTTTTATATATTTTTAATATTTCTTGTATTTCTAATATTTATTTAAATGGTTGTTCCATTCTCTATATTTTGTTAATATTTCTTGGATTTTCATTCATATGTTTATCTTTTTTGCATTACCAATATTTTGTTTAAGTTCTTTGCATATTCAATTTTTTTTTATATAGATTGTGCAAGCTCAAATGTGGTTTTGTGCTACTGGACAAGGGAAAAAAACTTTCAACCATACCCAATGTTGGGAGGTGGTGAAGCATTGTAAAAGATTTAGCATTATTCCAAAGGGTCCAACGGTGATGTTAAATGAGACGCCACTCCATGATTCACAAGCTTCGGATTCGCCTATGGAATTTTATAGGGTGACAATCTTATCCGAAATTTGAAATTCAAATGAAATTTTTCGGAAATGTGAAATTCAAATGAAAAGGTGAAATTCAAATGAAATTTATCTGAAATTTGAAATTCATATGACACGTGGCGCAATTTTATAGGTTGAAAATCTTATCCGAAATTTGAAATTCAGATGAAATTTATCTGAAATTTGAAATTGAAATGAAAAGTTGAAATTCAAATGAAATTTATTTGAAATTTGAAATTCATATGAAATTGATATGAAATTTATCCGAAATTTGAAACAAAAATTTATCTGAAATTTGAAAATGAAAATCTTATCTGAAAATCTTCTCCGAATATTTTATCCGAAAATATTGTCCAAATTAATTGTTTAGGTAAACAAATTTGTGAAAAAAACAAAAAATTGAATAGTACTTGCCCTTTGCCCGGGCAACTGCTGGAAGTGCAACTTACTATTTACAAGGGCAGACACTATTGAGGTGAATAGTGTCAACCTTAGCCCCGCCCTTGCCATGGCAAGGGTTTGACTGCTGGAAGTGCCCTTAGTAGTCGTATGTGAGAAATTCCCCTCCCCTTGACTTGACTTGCAGACCAATCACCCTTATTTAGGCTATCGCTTGTGTTTAAAAAAACAAGAAAAAAGAAAATGATACATAAGGGAACATGTGGCTCACTTGAAAACCCTGAGTCACCAAACAAAAGGGTCACGTGGGCTTAAAACCTACCAATGGGCTTCAAATTTAAGCCACCAAATCAACAGACGTTTTTTTCATTCATCTAGCATCTGGAAGAAAAAAAGAAGCTTGTATGTGATGGCAAAGCTCAATTATTAATGAAAGTTTACTTACATATTATTGTATGATGAGGGAGGGAGGGGCCTCTAGAAGTCAAATTTTCATTGAATCAGAATGAAGACAGCAAGTCCTCCTGTGCAGAAATTTCAGCCAGGTTTCTAATCTCAGTTCCCACCTAAAACTCCTCCATACAATCACACACACCACTTCAAATTATGAAAAATTTACAGCCCCTCGAAATGGGTTCTTTAGGTAAGATTCTAGTTAGAAATTTAGGTAGCTTGAAGCTTAATCAGCTCAAGCATACAAATATTGATGTTAATTAAGTTTTCCCATGTAATAGAACTTGATGAAACAGAGAACAGAACTGAAACCAAAGAAGAAACTCTAATATAATTCCACTAGTATATATATATATATATATTTATTCTCTCATTCGAATGTCCGTACGCTAATAATCTGTGGATGCTACTGTAAACAGAGAGAAAAGCAAGAGAAGTAGTAGAAAATACAACTGGAAAGAGAAGAAGAACAAGTTAATAATGTTTCCAAGGAAGACATTTGAGGCTAGTGCAAGGCTCAGTCCATGTACTTGTGCATTCACCTCCAGCTCCATCACAGCACTCGCAAGCAATTCCAAGTGTTGAAAAAACGTTTGCATATCCTACAATTGATTTCAGTCGGGACATCCGATTAATCAATTTGATCAAGAAGTCAGAAAAACAGAGAGATTTTGGGGTACATGTTTTTATCAAACCCTTTTACCTTGTTGTGGCAAGATGGAAAGTGGCCTTGCTTCAACAGCTGAAGATTTCTTTGATGCAAAAACAACAATCAGAAGCAACAAAGGTAGGAGATAAAACTTGGGCAGCCCCATATCTCTTCTTTTCTAACAGCAAAAAACTGTACAGCTTCTACAAACACTTCAGCAGCAGATATAGATGGGCATAAGAAAACAATGACGGGTTATTTTTAAATGTGAAGAAATAGTTTGTGTCTTTTTCAATCTAGAAGGTGTTGGCTTTTTCTGCTTGATTTAGGGCCTAAAGAGACTTAAACTAAAAACATGGGCTTCTAGAGCAAATGCTCGGAAATGTGTCACACGCTTCCCAGTTCCTTACGTTTCTGCGGGTTTGGAAATTAGTACTGGGACTTGGATGGAAACTTCCTCCTTCTCACTAAGTTTCTCAAGCGGTGGGTCAGTTGGGCCCTACCCTCGTCATCTCTGCAACATGAGAACATCATTTTTTTGGATTTTTTTGATTTTCTGATGGCTCATTTTTGCATGTTAAGACAAACGGAATTGCGTCCTTGAAATTTATAGGAATCTTCATTTGACATGTGCTATAAAGCTAGAGACAGATTTGCGTACATGCAGGGTATCAGATTCCAAGTACGGACGTCTGGTAAATGAAGTCTACTTTTCTTGGTAAAGTAGAAGGAAAGGGTGGTAAGAAGATTATGAGGTACCAATCAATTTGATCACATTGGAAGCATCTAATGAGACCATTGAACTTAATTACTTCATGGTTACCAACAATTTCCTAATTAACGAAAACCAAATAGTATAACGAATTCTCGATAAAAAGAACGGTCAGGATCTTATTCTAACTAACAAAATCCAGCTCCATTTGGTTGACAAATTTTGATTGCTTAATGTAACAAATGCAGAAGATGCAAGGAATCTCCTCTGCAATCTGATTAATCCTTGCATTAAAGCATAAAGGCTATTTAAGAAATAGGGAGAGAGAATACACATTACAGATAGCATGTTAGAAACTTTGTACAAACTCTCATTTACATAGGTAACTTGCAAGCCAAAAGAAAGAAAAACAAGATCATCTCTTAGCTCCTGCAAGTCCTCAAGTATTTCTTATTTGATGTCAAGGGACAGCTCTTTTGCATCACACATCTAAATGAAATCTGAGCCACCCCCAAACTGCTCCAGGTCTGGATGAGTCCCGCTCCCGGGCCTCCGCGGATTCCTATAACAAAATACAAATCATAGAATATTATTATAAGCTAGGTGAATTGCGCCTACATTTTCACTATTTGTTAAATCCAAAATACCAAGACATTATGCATGTATTTGGATGAGTCCCAATCAATACCACCCTGACTGATTAAGCAGGCTCAAAGATAGTGAATAGTCAGTTAAGCCCATTATAAAAAGATAGTGAATGTATGTATTTTTTCATGTTCCAGGGGAGAAAACAACAAGTGCCAAACTTAAAATTATGGAAGCTCTCTTCAGTAGAGACCAGGTGCGAGCGCAGTTTAAATTCCATTTGCTTTACGGGGAAATGATTTTTTCTCTTTAAACAAAAAAAAAGAGTAAAAAAACCTAACTTACTCTACCTTCATTGAAAACCTCCATCACAGAATCAAACCAGTAGCAACTAAAACCATCCATCATTGACCATTAAACTTCAAACCACAAAACCAATGTAACCTATGCCACCCATTCATTCACAACGCTCAAACAACAATTACCAAGAAAAACAGTACAAACTAGTTCAAAGTTCAAACACATGGAATACCAGGTTCAGTCGATGCCTTATTAAATCATTTTCAGGAAGTTATTATGGGGGTACTGATGCAAAATGTAATTTCAATATTACCTTGCAAACCGATTAGGCTCAAAACCAGGAACTCCCGGAGGGCCATATGGATCAAAACGGGCACCTGGTGGAACACCCGCTGGCCTATGGGGATCAAAACGAGGAAAACCCCTGTTCCAAAAATAAATCCAACCAAAATTAGAACAGCAATACAAAGTATAACATAAGCAAGGGAGAGAAATAGAGAGAGTAACAACTCACGGTTCTCCTCCTGGAAACCCAGGCTCTCCAACGCCACCAAACCACCGAGGATCATTGGGTCCTGTATTCGCATGACAAATGAAATGTGACTCATAATAAAAAAAAACTTCATATGATTATTATCAAGCACATTAAAAATAAAGAAGTATGTACAAACCTAGAAGCATGCCCCCACTGCTAAAACCGCCCCTGAAAGACGGACAAACAATATATGTGTTCAAATTTGGAACAATAAAACTGGGTGTAAACTGCAATGACCGTCAACATCATGATTTGTTGAAGTACAATACCTAGTAGGATACATTCCAGCACCAGGCCCAGGAAGAAGATCACTAAAACCACCAGTAGGATTAATAGGAGGAAACACCATTCTGCAAAGAAAGCCAGAAAACATAGAGTAAACAGCAGATTTTGAAAACTTAAAAACACAAAACACATAACCAATGTTAAAAGGGGCAAAAAACATTTTAAGGGTACAAATCAAAATTTTGAGCATGATCGCCTGTATTAGATAATGAAATAGGTGGGAATCTAAGAATAATCGCCTAGATTAGATAATGAAATGCTTCACTACTGTTACAATCTTGACAAACCTAAGCCAAGTCCCTCCTACTCAGGCCTTACAATCTAAGCTTCCGATCAATCTTGAGTTAATTAAAAATACTGAAACGAATCTCATATACAGGGCCCTAGAATTACACACACACACACACACACACACACACATCACAAAATACATATATCTGTATCTATGACCATAATAAAACATTGAAAACTGAAATTCAAGTTTAATGAAAACATTTATAGAGAGAGATGTACCCTGAAGGATTAGGTTGGGAGCCAGAAGGTCCATAAACAGGCTCACTTGTTGATCTGTCATTCCTTTCTGAACTGCAAAGTTCAGCAACAAAAAAGACACAACAATCCGTAAAAAGCACATTCCATGATTCTTACACTTCGTATGCATAAATTTTTATAACCATGACTAATTTAGCACAATCTTAATGCACTTCTGGATCATATAAAAACAAGATATTTAGCAGAACTAAAGATAATCTAAGACGAAAGACAATTACCTTAAAGGGTTACTAGAGGAACTGACACTGGAAGACCCATCTAATTTAGTCAAAACTTGAGTTTCCAGACTCTTCACCAGTTTGTCCAAATTCTTGAACTGTGTAGAGTAATTGCTACCCCCATTCTCTCCAACATGGTCACCAACGCTGAAGATTGTTAAAAACACCACCCAAACACCAGTAAGAAGCAAGAATTGAAAGTGCCCAATTGCAGCGACACAAAGAATCACGGCAAAAACTTACTTGATCTCAAGATGGACGGGCTCAGAACTCCCATCAGCCAGAGCATCTACAAGCAATTTATCGTTCATTACAAGGCACTTAACCAGCACATTCTTCGAACCCTTTTCAGGGTTCACATAGACGAACGCGTACTCGTCGTCAAGCTCGTTCCACTGGTCCATACCCACTTCATCTAAAACCCCAATTAAACAAAAGCGGAAAACTTTAGAAAATTTACTAATCATTTTTAGAGAAAAAAAACGAAGAATTTTTCAACATTTAAATGAGCAAGTACCAGTTGAAGGCGAAGAGAGAGCAGAATCGGAAAAAGCAGGGGGGCCAGCGGCGGTGAGCACGTAGCCGGACGCGAGGAAGGAGGCGTGAACGGCAAAGACGACCTTGTCGTTGTTATTGCGAAATGATGGCCTCGCGGCTCTGATCACTGCCATCACCGACTTGTCGTTCGCCATTGCAGTCTGTCTCAGTGTGATTGATCGGTGGGTTTTGTTTCTCTTTTCTGTTTCTAGAAATGTAAACGAGTTTCTTTCTTGCGAGAGAGCGAAGGCTTGGGGAAGTTGGAGAGAGTTCCCGGTTTTTATATATGCACCCTGCGGTTTGGGCTGGAAATTTCAGACATTAAGGCCCAATGGAGTCGCTGTACGGCCCACCACAATGTGAATTCGGTTCTTCTAATTACGGATGCTAAAAGAAATGAGATAAATCGAAAATTATTTATAGTTATTTAGTTATCTTGATTAGAGAATTAAAATAGGGTTATTTTGATTTTGCTTCCTATATTATTGTTAGTTTTATATTCTTTTCCTTTTCATGTATGATTAAGATTGTCGATTAGCTATTGAACTAGTGATATTCTTGTAGTTTGATTGATGAATGAAATTATCTCTTCTTGTGTTATCTTTTGCGTTTTTATAAACTTATAGATTCTCCTCCATGTATCTAGTTCTTCTATTTCACTCTAATTCCTCTTCTCTCCTAAATTCCCTTTCTAATTCCAATTCGGTTAAATTTGAAGTGCCACTTTGTGATCTTCAAATTTCACCAGTCATGGAATGAAAAATGATGTGATGCTACTTCCAAGTTTCTATTAAAGGCAGTTTTTAGTTTACACTACGTGAAATTTAGAAGGCGCATATGAAGTGACTTCAATATCATATTCTACTTGGTATCAATTTCTTTACAATGATGTAACCTTAAATATAACACCCATTTACATACATATGACAAAACTAGCTAGCAATTTGAGCACCAGGTCCAGCAGTGACTGCTTTATGTCTTGCAGTTGCTCTTATGTAACAGAAAACTGCCACCAAGAAGGTGGTGGCAAGCCCTCCGAGGATCACACCGCCACCGGCAACCGACTTGTCCTGAGAATGGTGGTGCTTTTTTAGGTGGATCTCCTCTTCTACGATACTCAGACTCTCTTCAGTCTCTGGACTTGGATTTGTGGAAGCTGGTGCACTGCTTGGGCTTAAAGTTGGTGGCTTGCTCTCACTAGCTTGGTGCTTTCCAAGTTTCCTAATCACAGGCGCTTGTGCATTGTACAAGTTTTTGTCATTAGAAGGACTTGGAGTTGGAGCCTGTGTGCTTGGGATTGAAGCTGAATTAGGCTGCTCTGTGGTTTGAGCCTTTTCATCTGCAGCCATGGTTACACTCACATAAGTATCTGCTAAGATCAAGCAAAGGAGAAGCAATTGATATTGAGCCATTTTGCGTAAATGGGGTGTTGGAGATGCTTGTGTTCTGAGGCAATGAGGATGAGATGGTAGCTCTGAGAGCCATTTATAGGGATTTCCATTGAAGCAGATCCTATATAATTGTGTGGCTAATTTGATGGAAAGTTCCAATTGTCGGATTCTATGAATAAATTTATTCACTCTTGTACTTTGAAATTAATGGGGTTGTCTGTGAGAAGGGGAAATGATAGAAGACTACACGTGTGAGCATTAGAATATTACAAATACAACTGAGCTTTCAATCAAGGGAACAAGATCTGTAACATGTTTATTTGTCAACTTGTAATATGCAATTAAGTGTTGAATTATCACTAATGGCAGAGCATAATTAAATTAAGGCTAGTTCAAGTTCCCATAATCTCTAAACAAATGGAAGATGGTCAGAAGCTGCTTAATTTTAATTTAGTTGGGGTTTGTTCATTCATATCCATTGCTTGTGATGGCAAAAGCATTCATCTACATCTCATTTCCATAAACAGCCCCAAACGTAAAAAGTTTTCTTGTCTGTGTGTGATGAATAACTCTGATTAATAAAGTTTAGAATATGGAGAAGAAAATCTGTTGGATATGATCTAAATCAAATGGCCAATAATCTGCACTTCTGCTGCATCAACATGGTGCCTTAAAAATTTAGCAGAAGGTTCATCTTGTCTGTGAACATGTTAAGAACATCACAAAACTTTCTAGACACAGTGTTGAGAATGCTTTAAAAATTATGCTTGCTATGTCTAAGCATTCATGCATTTGAGCTTACATAAAGAAATTATGAAAGCAATAAGATTGCCGGTTCGATCGAATGGGGGTTGCATTTCATGATCCTGGAATATACGTATGTCTGCAAATCTGTATATCTCATCTTGATTTGAAAATATAAGTGCCCTTTGATTGAGTTGGTGACCATTAATAAAATCATGGAATCTTTAACCTCACTTGTGGTAGTGTTTGGGAAATCAGAGACACACAGCACAGGGTTCATGATATTTTAAGCTAACAAGCAACACCTGCTGCATTGCTCTGTAACTTCTCATGCAATTTTTTTTTTATTTTTTTGTGAACACTAGTAATTGTTTAGTAGAAAGATGGCCCATTAAGCAGGAAACAATAGATGTTTTTTCTTTTGGACAACTTGCGAAGAGGAGAAGGGACAACAGAGCGAGAGCGGTGTGTTTCATTTGAATTACAAGGTTTCTGTCAGTGAGTGTCTGTGCATGATTGATTGCATTTAGGTTGCTGCGTTCATTTTTCTAACATGAATTGTTTAGCTGGAGATACTGTGCAGCCAGCTCATCCAATTGTGAATGGTGAAGGTCAAATCCAGTGAGGGCAATATAGATTAGCAGCAGTTTGCACGTGCACAGAGGCTCTCCTGACTGACTGTCGAGAACACCACCAGCCTCAGCCTCAATTTTCTCGAGCCAGGCAGATCAAGACAAGTGACACCCAAAAAAAAACACAAAAAGATTAAAGAGAAAAACAAAACAAAACAAATGGGCTGCCCAGCATAAAAATTGAAAGATTGCACCAGCCGGGAATCGAACCCGGGTCTGTACCGTGGCAGGGTACTATTCTACCACTAGACCACTGGTGCTTGTTGATACAATGTATGCGATTGTAATTAAATATAGAATTCTTCGACTCTCCCTTTGTTTACTTCTTTTGAACAAGTGACTTTTCCATTAAAGGAAAATAAAAATAAAAATCTAACCTACGGAGATGATTATTCAAATTGGTTGCAAGGGAGGGAGATTTATTGTTATGGCTAACTAACATAAGCGGCATATCCAAAAGAAACCTCTATTCAAGTAACAAAAGCAAAGCAAATATGGATTTAGCTAAGTTGACTAGAGAGAATCCCGAGTTCGAATTCTCCTCTCCGTAGTTTAGATTAAATTAAAATAAAATATTGCTTGTATAATTTTATTTTATTTTAAGTAACAAAAGCAACACAAACATGGCTTTGCCAAGTTGACTAGAGAAGATGTGCTCCCCACTCTGTAGCCGAGTTCAAATCACCCTTCCCATAGTTTAGATTATATTAAAGTACAATATTGTTTGAACACAAAAAAACAGTCCAATTGATCCAAACATGATTGGGCCTCTTTGCTGTTAGTCATTCAATTACAGAAGTCCAATTCGATATATGCTTGCCCACAAAAGAGCCCAACCATTTTCTTGATGGGTCGGGTCGGGTTGTTTCCATCCGGACTCCATCATCCAAAGGCTAAGAAGATAACAGCCACAAATTCGGAAACTCGCTCCACAGTGAACACAGCGGCTTTGCTGCCCTCACTTCGCGCCTTTTCTTCAATCTTCATCCATTCCAATCTCTGCAAACCCTAAATTAGTTATCTCCATTCATCCAATTTCTCACTCACTCTCCATAATTCGCCTCTGAAAATGCAGCGTCTTTCGTTCTCCAATGCCTTAACATCTCCAACCCCTCTCTTCCTCCACACAGAGCTCTCCCACCTCTCCCTCCAATCCATAACTCTAACCCCAAAACCCACAAGCATCCGAATGGGCGGCGGACCCAGAACTTTCCCTGGTGGCGTATCCAAGTGGCAGTGGAAGCGCATGCAGGCAAAGAAGGCCAAGCAGCTCCTCAAGGCTCGGCTCTGCCGCGAGCGCCAAATCTACGAGATGCGAAAGAGGGCCGAGCTCAAAGCCGCCGTGTCTGAGCTTGAGCGGCCATGGGAGGTGGTCGAGAAAGCTCCAAACTTGTTCTCTGTCAGCGCCGACGAGCAAGTCAAGGTTTTGGCAGATAGGTTCCAGAGGCCTGGTGGCTTCGATATGTGGACCGAGAGGGACGGCCCTCAGTTGTTTCACACCATGGATGACTTGCCGTCTGCGAGGTTTTTCCCCAAAGGGGTTGTTCATAGTGTGAGACCGTATAAAAGAATTTCTGGGCCTGAGGATTTGGAGGATTTGGAGCTTCAAGATGAGGGCTTTGGAGGAGTTGAAGAACTGGGTAATGGGTTTAAGAGTAAAGGGAAGGTAGGAAGTTCAAGTGAGTCATTGGATGTAGAGGGTTCAGATGGGGAGGGTTTGAATCTGAAACGTTCCTTGGAATCGTTGAGTATGAATGATCAAACTGGGAAGAAGAATAATGGCAGAATGAAGAAGAAGGGGAATAGGAGAAAGTCTGAGTCTTCAAGTGGGTTTGATAATGGGCAAATTGGTTTTGATAGGAAACAAAGAGTACAGAGTCCCATAATGCGCGGTGGCAAAAGTCGACATAATAGAAGGAATAGTTCAAAGTCTGATGTTTTTGATATGAGCTTGCTGCAAGATGGAAGTTATGAACTTCAAGCGTATAATGGCCAGCCATGAATTTCAGCTCAAAGTTTGGACTGGAAAGAGCCATTCACAAAGAATCAAGGGATTATGAACTGGGCGATCCTAAGAACTCGTTAAATGACAATGAATAAGCAGTTTAAGTAAAAATTGCCACATTATGCAGAGGAAGTCTTCATGTGTTTGATGAAGGCTCATGATTCAGGAAACATTGTCACGCTCCCAAAAATGTATGTATTACCTTTCGTAGTTATCCTGTGCTGAAATAGTTGAATGAAATGTAGTCCTCATCAAAGTATATATGACATATAGTATCGACTAATTGATTAAAATTTGCTAATTGCTATATACATTTGTCACATGATTTTGTTGATCTTTGGGGTCTATAATCTTAATGATACAATGAGAAATCATGTGATGTGCAATATACTTGCAATTTAAGCCAGAAATGGAACTTTAAGTTTAACCCTGCATCACTCTATCAGTAAGGATGACTTTCTCATGAAGATGATATTTATTACGTACTTGATGAATGTTTGTATTATTTCAACTGCTTTTCAGTAAACTCATTAAACAGCTTATTTAAAACTGCAGTTCAAATTTCAGATTTTGAAGAAGATAATTATTCGATGTGCTCTTGAGAGAAAAAATGTTAATGACTGATGAACTACAGAGACGATACATATTAGCAAGTTCTCTTTCTTGTTTTTGTGGAATCTGAAGCCAACGGATATCTTTGCTACAGATTGATGCATTTTACATGAAAAAACTATAATTTGCATCAGCTTTATACCAAAATTAAAGGATTCAGATTTTTTATTGGTAGGCTTAGTGCATAAAAGAACATATTGTTCAGCATGAAGATGTGGTTTTTCCAACCACATATTTGGCTCAAACGCTATCTCAGTGACCACTAACACCATATGAATAGGCTTCTCATGATTTGGGCCACACCATTTCTTTTCCCCTAATCTGTTTCACTTATCGAATGCCCTTATAGATAATGTAGTGGATTTTGATTTGATTGATTACTTTAGATGATGGAGCCATTTTGGTAATAATCATTTACAGTGGGTTGTTGTTGGTTGTCTAGTGGAATGTGTGGTAGTGAATGAGTGTTGATTTGATTGATTACTTTAGATGATAGAGCCAATTTCGAAACGATCATCTGCAGGGGGTTGTTATTGGTTCTCTAGTGGGAAGGCTTGGAAATTGCTAGTAGGTTTTTAATGGATGATGTAGCTACAGAAACGCTGACTCAGTGGCCATCCTTAGAATCAAAGATTTGAGGGTTGATGCTGGTGGGATGGTAACGCATGTAAAAGTTTAGTTTGTTGTCTAAGTTAGACCGGGCTACTAAGCTAGTAATTGTAAATACATTATAACGTTACAATTGCATTCTTTTTGGTTTCTTGGATCACAATTGCATTTGAGACTCCAGGATTCTTGAGTTTATGTGTTACATTTACCTTGCATGACATAAAGCGTGGAAGTGTTGTGCATATACTATATATTGTTACCTGCTGGTGTTCTCTGTGGATTTCTTTGCTGTTGTGTCACATTTTATATTGAAGTTGATTAAATTCTCTGTCTTATCAGTCGCATAAAGGTAGTTGTTGTATTATGTATAAGATGCATAGCTCCTACTGAACTGCACATCCTGCTGAAGATGAGGAGATAAACTCTGAACTTTAGATAACTCTTGTCTAGCCAGGATACGTCTATTTTGATCTGGAATATCATCCTTATCCATCTTGATCTGTACATTCTAAGTCAGACAAAACTCATATTTCCTGGGAATATTAGGTTTTTATCCACTCCAAAGGTGATGCCAGTATCTCTCCTTTTCCAATTTAGAAGATCAGAAATCTCCTTAAATCAGATTTAACTAGGCAAGATTTAGCAATCATATCTAGAAGCACTATAATCTCTTTACTGCATTCACATTTGCCAAAACAGTCAACTTCATGCTTGCTAAGACTCTGACCTCCACGCGTTTTACTCCAAAGCAAAATAGATTTAGTGGGCTGCTGCAGCCATTTCTTCATACCACTCGAATCTGTCTTAGTGGATTCTATCTTTATTTATGAAATTGCTGTAATCATTAATGGGAAGATGGTAGTTTCTTTCGGTGGAAGACTCGTTAGCTTGCTGATTATTGGTGTTTAGTTTGCACTTTTTTTTTTTTTTTGGTCAAGTGTTTAGTTTGCACTTTGCATGTAAGAAATTGACTTAACTGAGTAGTGATTGCGTATGTCCTTGGTACTTTGACCTAAACTTCTTTTCTATGCGTAAACAAACATAGAAGTGTTCAGATGAATTCAAATAAGGAAAATGCTAGGGAGACCAACTTGGGAGACCAATTTGGGATACCAACTCTCTAATAGAGCGTGGGACCCATTGTATTGGTGGGCTCCACCTCTATTAGAGAGTTGGTACCCAAGTTGGTCTCCCAAGTTGGTCTCCCTAGCATGACCCTTCAAATAAACTTGAAATGAGACAACATAATCTGTCAAAATGCTTGGTTTACTATTATTCATTTGATGATTGTCTGAGATTTTTGTCAGCTTCCTATGGCCTTGGTGTAAAAGTATGATATTATTGACCAGAAGGGTCAAGTTTTTTATTTGAGTTTCCCACATTACTTTTTGGATAAGCGGAAGTAATTCCTCAAAAAAGCTCAAAATTTAACCAGGACCTCTTTGTTTAGGGGCTAATGGCTGGTGGGGCTGGAGGCTGCTGCGCCATTTTCACTACTTCAATGGCTATTAGGGTTGAGATTATGTTTTGTACGTGTATTTAAACAAAAATTTGATTTTGGTGAATTATAATCTCAGTACACAACATGTTATGTTATCAAACAGTTAACAGTTGGACATGACATGAATGAATTGAAATATTTTTGTAGCTTGAGTTGTAATTTGGTAGTTGATGCCTGTTGGAAGTTGGGTAAGCAGTGAGGAAAGGTCCAAAAAAGTTACTGATATATTTGTGATGTCGACACACTATTGGTGTGTGAGCCACGTTTCATTTTCATTTTCACTTGTTGGTAGTGGCATATTTTGGGGTAAACGTATGCTAGAAGTTTTCAAAGATAAAAAATAAAAAATCATGAGGCAAGTGATTATGAGTAATCTACCAAATACCAATTGCTTTAAATTAAGGATGCTACTTTTGTTAATAATTCGTCCAACAAGAAAAGAAGCAATTAAAATATGTTTTATCAATAAACAATATGTGTCTCTTTTTGGGGTCTGAAGAGACAATATGTGTCTTTGAAAGCAAAATAAAATAGGCAAATTGTCTGAACAAATCCATTGCTGTCACCGACTCTTTTAAATTATTATTTTTTTTTTCTGGCTTTATCACTATCTGGTTAAAGCTTGAATTTAAGCAGGTCTACAAGAATCATTGTTTTAAAATTATCTTTCTTTTAGTTTTCAGTGAGAGCTGGAAATGCCATTACCATAATATCACATATGTCCTTTCATTCTAAATTTAACATAACATGTTAACGGGTCTAGTCTAATGAAAAAGAGTCTTGATTTGCAGACGAGTGGTCTAGTTTAGACTATCGCTCGTATTCAAAACATGCCTCGCTAATAATTAACATGTATTTTTTTTCCTAATATAGAAGTGATGTGTCCATTAATTCCAAGTAAATGTCATTCAGGGTTTCTTTTCTGGATAAGAAGGTTTAGTGTTCAAGCCAATAAACGGATGGAAATATTTAGAGCACTTAATAATTAAAGATTCTCTTATACGATTTGGATAAGAAAGAAATGTCGAATATTTCTGCAAACCAACAAAATAAGAGCGTTTCCAGAAATATATTGACCACTGCAGTATAGCTAGTGCTGGATCACATCAAAATCATTCACCATAAAAGTTGAGTGCATGTACATCTACAAGACTTAAAAACCCTCTTTTTTTTTCTTTCTAAGAGGAGCTTTGCTAAACACTGTCGTTTTCACTTGCTGGAAAGATTCGCACCACTGCTGTGAGTGTGTGAGGTTTGATTCTTACATCATGTACGATCACAAATCATGGGTCACAAATTCTTGCTTTGTTTTTTCCAAAGTTGAGAAGGAAAATCAAAATCATGCAAACCATTGTAAATCACATGCTATTTGTCCCTTGTGGTGGCATAATACGCTAGCACCACTATGCTTTTGGTGGTATTGCCACTATATATATTAGTGCTCAATCTTCATCTCTGCTCTACTTCATTTATTTTTGTCAAATTTATACGGAAACATACGCTTATGTTACGAGATTAAATTTGAACCGCAGTCCGACAAAATTACATTTTTCCAGATATATTTTACATGGTAAGTATATTGGGTTCCAAATTTTTTAATTAAAGTTTCAATTGACTTTTACTTTTTTCATTTGAACAATGAGATCGATGTTTTGATGAGAAATGATGTTACGTGCATTACAGATCCATGGCATAGTGCATGTAAGACAAGCAACTTGACTTCAACTTTCTTGATGACAGGGTCTCGGATTGAGTGAAACTGATCATGCATCGATTGAGAATTTGAGAATTGCAAAAGGTTTAATCACGTTGGTCCATTAGTTGTGGAGGACGAGACAAACAAAATAATAAACTTAGGTAAAGTGGTCCATAAACTATGGTCTAATTCAACTAATGCCATGATATCGTCACATTATCTTTAAAATAATGGCTTAATTAAATTAGCAATGTCAAGATTATAATCAAGCTGCACTGATTTCTCCTACGTTTAGTAGAGGCTGTATAGCCATAGGCCATACAATGCACTTACCTCATCACCACGTTATAAATATGACACGCGTAAATAATGTACGCAAAATTTGTAATAAAAAGGGAGTTTTGATTTAAACTCAATTTTTCTGTAATAAAATGGAAGGTGCAAATAGAAAACATACTTGGTTACGGAAAGTTTATCTTAAATTGAGATCATATATAATTTTTTTTTTTGTTTGACTCGTTCACATTGATTTTGAGTTTGGTACTTTAATTTCAAAAATATGTAAATAGATTCCTTGATGAACTAAATTAGCATTTTGAAAAGCGTGTATGGATTGCGGCCTATGCTAAAAAAGGGTACTTTGGTGACTTTATTAGAATTTTTGGTCCCATAATTGATTTGGATGCTATTCCTCTTAGTTGTAAGGAATTGACGAATGAACATTTCCTCTTCCGCAACTAAATGCAACCCAAAAAAAATGAAAAACCAATTTCTTAATTGATGTAGAACGGGATTAGGGGCCAGTTTGGCATTGCTGTGCTGTGAAAATAATCGTTGTCAAATTTGCTGTGAGAAAAATTAGCTGTGAGAGAAAGCAGTTTGGCGTTTGGTAAATTTTTTGTTAAAAGTGTTGCCGGTACTAATTCCCACATAATCAGAAAATAATTGCCGTATAATCATTAAACACAGCGCATCTTCGAAACTGATTCCTGCATAATCAAAAAATGAAAGCACCACATTAGCTGCTTTCCCTTATAGCTTTCTCTCACATCAATTTTTAACAATAAGTGATTTTCTCATAGTTTACCAAACGGACTGGGCTTTCCAAATTTTTTTAAAAATCACTTATCACCCCAAATAAGCAATGCCAAACAGACACTAGGTGGTTGCCTTAATATGAAATATTTTTTGGTTCATAAGTCTAATAATCAACAATATTATGAAATTAATATTTCATAAATTATTTTTATACTTAAAAAAAAATTCATTCTACACAATTTTTAGTGAGTACTTTTTGGAAGTGTATTCCTTTGCTTTTGTGAAATGTGAAGGTAAAAATATCCCGCATTAGAAAGTTAGAAAATATTACAAGGGCTTATAACGTGTTGGGCTACTTCCCCGTTACCAATTGATTTTAGGATTGAACATCAATTTTCTTCGTGATATCAGAACAGGTGTTGGGCTACTTGCCCATTACCAATTGATCCACTTTCTTGTTTTTCCCTAGGCTGAGACTTCTCTCAGTCACACAGAATTGGAGAATTTCAAAAAGTGAAACAGCTGAAAAGTGAGCTTAAACAATTGAAAATCATTCTCTATATAAAGAGGGCCAAAGTAAAAGCTTTCCATACCAACAACCCACTTCTTCTTAGGAACAACAGAGTCTGCCTATTAATTTATTGCTTCTTTCCAATTAAGAAGAGATAGTAGCACAAGTTTCATTCTTAGCCAGTGAAGATGGAAGAGAGAAAGGGAGCAAAACCAAGCAAGGTTGAAGATGGGGAGAAATGGGTTTATGATTCTTCTCTGGATCATAAAGGAAATGTTCCTCTCCGAGCTCGAACTGGTGTTTGGAAAGCCTCTCTCTTCATCGTTGGTAAGAAACAATTATTTCTGATCACTTGTGCTCTGTTTGGTTGCTAAGAAACCATATAATTGCATGCTACTTTTCTCGAGAAAATTCTTGGGTCATGCATCACCAGTTACAAGAATTACATGACAACCTCCTTCGTTTTATTATTTATCTTTTTTTCTGGCTTAATTTGTCTTGTTGAAGCTCATAATAAACAGTTACACAGACCAAAATATTTTGTCAAAAACGAATATATATATTACTTTATGGTGCTTTGAGGTATAACGCCGGAAGGTGGAGGAGACTGTTTTATTCATGCATACTAATATATATGGGGGCCATAAAGATTTACATGCAAGTTCTATCATATCCGAGACTGCACGTGGGAGGGGCCTCTGCAGCACTCTAGCATATGAGAATGTTCCTTTTTATGGATCCAATTTGGCCACCTCACCCCATTTGACACACGTATCAAAGAAAGTGCTGCTTTGTGTTAACCAATATTTGATTAGATAATTTAAAATTTCGAGTTACACAACATAACGTATCAAATTAAATTTATATATGAAGATGTAAATGCATGAATAATATGTTGAGCTCTACAATTTGATTAACTGACCGTTCTGACAACATAACGTATCAAATTAAATTTATATATGAAGATGTAAATGCATGAATAATATGTTGAGCTCTACAATTTGATTAACTGTTTATATCTGATCCTTGTGTTTGCAGCAATTGAGTTCAGTGAGCGGTTGAGTTACTTTGGAATAGCAACTAGCTTAATTATCTACCTCACGAAAGTAATGCACGACGACCTCAAAGTCGCAGCTAAAAGTGTCAACTACTGGTCTGGTGTCACCACACTCGTCCCACTATTTGGAGGCTTCATAGCTGATGCTTACTTGGGTCGCTTCAAAACAGTTCTTGCTTCATCCATCATTTACCTCCTGGTAAATTAATCTCACTTAATTTTCATATCAAATTGATTACTATTTTGAAACCCAATTAAGAAAATACTTGTTCTGGTTTTTTTCTGGGAAAAAAAAAATACAGGGTTTGATTCTTCTATGCATGTCCTGGTTCGCACCGAGCTTAAGGCCTTGTGACACTAAATCGTGTCATGGACCAAGGAAAATTCATGAAGTGGTGTTCTTCCTAGCCATCTACTTGGTCTCTATAGGGACTGGGGGTCATAAGCCAGCTTTGGAGAGCTTTGGAGCTGACCAGTTTGATGATGATCACCCTGAAGAAAGAAAGCAGAAGATGTCCTATTTCAATTGGTGGAATTTTGGCCTCTGTTGTGGGCTTTTACTTGGGGTGACTGTGGTTGTGTATGTGCAAGACCATGTGAGTTGGGGTGTTGCTGATATAGTTCTCACTGCAGTTATGGCTGTGTCACTTGTTATCTTCATCGTTGGAAGGACAAATTACCGTTATAGGAAACCGACTGGGAGCCCCTTGACACCAATGTTGCAGGTTCTTGTAGCAGCCATTGCTAAGAGAAGTCTGCCTCACCCTTCTGACCCTGCTCAGTTGTATGAAATTCCCAAATCAGAGAAGGTCCATGGAAGGCTTCTGTGCCACACCAAGAATCTCAAGTAAGTCCATGACATCCTTTCAATTTGGCATGTTATGTTGTCGGATTATCAATTTGACATGTTATGTTGTCATATTTTGTCAATTTGACATGTTATCTTGTTAGACTATCAATTTGACATGTTATATTGTCAGACTATCAATATGGTCATGTTATATTATCATAATATCAATTTGACATCACAAAATGAAATATGAATTCTCATAAGTCAACAGTTTTATTGGCAACATAACATTTCGGACTATGTTACAAGAAAACATTTCTTCAAATCATAATGAATGTTGTACAAACTATAATTTTATGAGATAATGTGTTTCAGATTTCTCGACAAGGCGGCGATCATAAGCGCTCAAAACTTGGCCGAGAAGCCAAGTCCTTGGAGACTAGCCACTGTGACCAAGGTAGAGGAGATGAAGCTTGTGCTCAACATGATCCCCATCTGGCTAGCGACTCTACCATTCGGAATGTGTGTAGCACAAGCCTCCACATTCTTCATCAAACAAGGAGCCACCATGAACAGAAACATAGGCAACGGTTTTGAGATCCCCCCAGCCTCAATCTTCTCACTTGCAGCCATTGGAATGATCATCTCCGTCACATTCTACGAAAAACTCCTCGTCCCAGTCCTAAGAAGAACAACAGGAAACGAGAGAGGCATCAACATCCTGCAAAGGATCGGGATCGGAATGGTTTTCTCCATTGCCACAATGGCGGCAGCTGCCTTGGTGGAGAAGAAAAGACTTGGTGCTGTGGAGAGTGACCCAGTAAAGGGTTCACATTCCATGAGCGTCCTGTGGTTGGCGCCTCAGTTTGTGATCATTGGGCTTGGAGATGGCTTCACTCTGGTGGGCTTGCAGGAGTATTTTTACGATCAAGTCCCTGACTCTATGAGAAGCTTAGGCATTGCGTTTTACCTCAGTGTGATCGGAGCAGGGAACTTCCTCAGCAGCCTCTTGATCACAGCCGTTGATCACATCACGGAGAAGGGTGGGAAGAGCTGGTTTGGCAAGGATCTGAACAGCAGCAGATTGGACAGGTTTTACTGGGTTTTGGCTTGCATTGCTGCAGCAAATTTGTGTGTTTATGTTTTCTTGGCTCGGCGTTACTCTTACAAGACTGTGCAGAAGGTGGCTGTAGTGGCTGATTGCTATGAAGGTGAGCTGGAAAAGGGAGGTCCAATGGCATGAAAAAATAAACATATATATGGTTATATATATATATATATAGTTTACTGAGTCTAAAAATAATTTACATGTCCAGTTGAAGTGCTCTAGGTTGTGAAATCGTGCTTGAAATTAATTTTGTAAAGGCGTGGATTTCAGTATAAGAAAATTTATATTTCTTAATTAGGAATGCATGTATTAATTAAGGCATTTCAGTACAAGTTATGGAAGATGTTATATTTCTTTCTCAATATTGAGAACAGAGATGACTTCCAAAGTGTACTTCTAAGATTATATGAAGGAAATTACAAAGTAGCGTAAAGTATATGGCACCAGGAGGAGGAGGATAAGCAACCTCAGGGTATAATTTTGAAATTCCTCAATTAATCTCGACCAATAAATCTCTATCTCATTTTTATTCAGTAAAGCGTCCACTTATTCGAAACTCCCCAGCATCAGTGATTATTCATGTAATGTAACCTCTCCCTCAATCACTTATACTAAAAAACAATTAAAGCGTCCAACCAAGTTGACAAGTATATAAGGTTCCCATAATTCTTGACCTTTTCTTGTGACAAAATTTGATGCCCTTTTTCGGTCTTTTTCAATCTTTAACTACACTCTCTTCTTTCGCTTTTGAGAACCACAACAAGTGGACTTAAAAAGCACTATTAAAATATATATATATTAAAAATCCTTTTTGCAATGCTTATTGGTTTGCTAATGGATCAATTAGACTTGTAGAAATCTAATTGACAAACCATTTGAAATCTAAGGTCAATGTCTAATTGGTTCAACCTGAAATCCATTAATTTTATGAATGTCTGAAAAGAAGTCGATACAATTGACACACCATTAATGGACCACCACCTCTTCTCCATCATATACATTGGTGAAGTAGTATGATTATATGCTTGACATATTGTACCGGGTTTTAATGATGAAAATAAAAAATTAATTTTTTATGCAAGTGGTATTTCTCTTTCGAATGTTTAAAAATATCCCAAATTTGAATATCCAATATTTTGAACACAACTTTAAACACGTAACTTCTGGAATATCCAAAATTCAAGTGGAATTTCTCTTTCGAATGTTAAATTCAGAGTTGTACTAAATTGATTTTAAGAAATGATAATTAAGGACTTTAAGCAGCATAATCATCGTTTGCTTTTCTAGTCGTCCGACAAGTTCCATTTCAACTTCATAAATCAAATCATACGTTTTCATATCCACACTTAGAATTCTTCTAAAACCTCTAGATTTTCAAAGTACAAAGAAATTGACAATAAATTGAAGTCCTTAACTAAGACCCCAAATGTATCCAACGGGCGACACTTGGCACGCCCTGATTGACGGCGAACGCCATGTAATAACCCGGTGGAGCAACCATCCCATTTGGCGGAGCCGTACAGCTAATTCTATAACGGCCGTCACCGTCCGGCACGGAGGGCGTAACGGCTAATTTGACCAGCCGCTGACCCTGCGAAAACGAATGTGTGGCAAAAGGCGCGTTCCCAAGTTAACTTCCACAATTCCCACCACGGACAACGAAACCGACACCAAAACATCAAAACGCTCGCCGTAACGCACCGTTTCGGGAACCCCCTCAATCACGGGTCGGAGATTCGCCCGGTCCGGACCCAAATACTCGGGCGAAAAAGCTTCGAGTCGCAACTCGGTGGCAAACTCGGCGTTGAATTTGTAAAAGTAATGCGGGTTGCTACCCGCAATTAGTACCCGGCCGTCCGGTAATAAATTCGCGGTAGAGTGGTACATTCGGGGCACGGTTCCCGGGTTCAACGTCATGAACCGTAACCCGACGGGTTGATCTGGTCGGTAGAGAAGCGGGTACAGGCACGGGTTGGATGCCTGCTCGAACCCCTGGGTCCCAGCTTGCGCTCCGTTGATGATCAATACGTCGCCGGTTGGGAGCATGACCATGTCCCCCATGATCCGCCCGAACGGCATGTCCTCCATTTGCCAAACTGGGTCGGGCGATGTTGCCACGATGCGCCCGCAGCTACCGTGCGCTGGGGTGTCCGTGCTCCTCTCGGTGAACGCGCCGTACTGGGCCCCACCGCAAACCACGATCACGGCCGTTGAGTAGTCGCCATCTAAGGCCAGCATTGCGGATGATCCGGCCGATGGGTAATTACGCGGGCCACCATCCAACTGTGGATATTCTCTCACGATTTTATCTACCACGTGATCGTACGACACTGCTTTGTTGTTCGCGAAGATGAAGAGGTGGCCGTTGGGAAGGAGATGCACGTAAGGGTATAAGTTGTCCATCTGAGTGTCCTCCATGTCAGCAAGGAAATTGAGGGAAACGGCGCCGTTGCGCGGCGGGTAATACTCCACCGTGTTCGCCGCTCTCCCGCCAACTATAATCACCGAACCGTCCGGTAAAATCTGGTTCGTAGCGTACCACCTCCCTGCCGACAATTCCACGTCAGCAAGCTCCACCCAGTCGCACGACCCGTTCGGCTCGCACGGGTCGAACTTTCGGATCTTTTTAAACCCGTCCAGGTCCCCACCAGTTTGTAACAAAGACCCGTCCGGGAGGAACTGTCCGGATGAGCACCACGTGTCGGTGTTGATCATGAGCGGTCGAATTTGGTTGGTCTGGGGGTCGAAGAGCACGGAGTGGGCGTAGCAGTCGTGCTTGAGAACGGCATCGTTTGGGTCGCTGCGGCAGTGACCCTTGCGGAGCATTTTGCGCGACGGGCCGATGTTGGTGCGGTCTAGGAGCACCACGGTGTTGAAGCGGGTGACGGCCGTGTGCATGGAGGATATGCCGGCGTTCTCCACGAGGAGTTCCCACGTGCCTGGGAGTTCGGCACGGGCGAAGACAATTACAGCAGTGGAAATGAGAAGCAAGAGCAGCCATTGCTGAGAAACAGAAGAGTCCATTGAGGAAGAAAGTGAGAAAATGAAAAGGAAAGATAAGTAAGGGTGTGGTGTGGGTGTTTTAGACAGTGAAGCTCATACTTAAAGTAATTGAGGGAGTGGCTTTGCTACATGAAGGTGCACAAGAAGACAAAGAAACGCATTGAACACAGTCCTTTCGATTCAAAGATAACGGTAGGGAATGGTGGGTCCGTACGATGACACGTCGGAAATTACACGCATGGTTTTCTTGGGTGGGGAAAGTGGATGAAGAAGCCACTCAAAAAGTGAAACCGGACACTGGTGGGGCCCATGGTGGAACCACCACGTGGCGAATCTCACTGCCACACTGTACTTTGAAGTTCTTGCATCTTCTGCATTGTTTTAAAATAGAAGGAAATTGTAATTAATTAAGGAGTAAGCTCCTGCAGTAATGATGATTGGGTTAATTAGTTGCAGTTTTGTTTGTTGAAGTACCAATTCAGTAACCGACTCATAATGTTTTATGATGACAATTATTTTATGAGAATTCAGAGGACTTGCTCAACTCTTGGCTCTCAAGTTTACCATAAGATGCTATCAATTATAATGTCGGTTCTTTTCAGCTAGCAGTCTATTAGTTAAATAGTGTGTGCGTTGTCAGAATATATATAATTTAATACCATGGAGCCAAATATACGACCTTAGTGGACCAACCCATGAATTATAATGTTTGGCAATTTTATATCGAAATCATTCATAATAATAGTAGAATTTGTATCTCGAGTGGTTTAGAGCGTTATCTTTACATATGAAGTTATTTAAACGATGTCTTGTAACTTATGTTATCCGTTCTCCGATGAGAGGATGCCAATGACTTTGGGGCCTTGGTGATAAGAGAACATTAGGGGCCATACGGGCCTTGCTGATAAGAGGGGCCATATGTACAATACCATAATGCATATAAATCCAAAGAAGCTCTCAACAATGACAAATTGTTGGCCTACGAGAACATGTGATTTGAAATTGAGATGACACATCCTTGATCTCCTAAGCTGAAGACATCAATAAAAGCTCGATATCATTTGCATCCCTTAAAAGGGGAAAAATAAAATTAGCACATGTATTATTATTTCTTGTAATAACAATACATGTATCAATGTGCATAATTTAACTTATATATATATATATATGTATGGGTGGGGTTTGTTGGAATCGTGCAATCAAAGCAAAAACCCTTTTAACGGTAGCTAGGGCAAGTTGGAAAGGATGCTTCATTATCCCTTTGACAGTAGCTACGACAAGTTGGAAATTGGAATCATATTCTATATAGTGGATGGGCAGCTTAGTCATACCTAGGGGTGTCGGTCGAATATCCTAATTAACTCCTATTACTTCTACTTATAGATGAAGTGTGCACTTAAATCGTGTATTCCAAGATTTAATCTCAATATCAATTTAGTTGTGCGTGTGTAGGGAGTGAGCTTTGTGATGCGTGTTTCCCATTGGAAGGCAGGTTCAGATATTCTATGTGATTATGTGGTGGTGGACATTCGAAATTCTTGGATTGATGTGGTGGATATCATGGGCCGGTTCAATAAACTGGATATCTGGCCTGTTATAAATTTGTCTTTTGCAATGGCCCATTAAAATAAAATTTATCAACATGGAAATGAAGCCCAAACTAGTAAAACCCCTCCTGTTGGCTTTTCGGTCACCAGTCTAATTGCATGAACAAAATCAAAATTGAAACCTCCACAGCGCCAACAACCCTATCCCTATGTATTTTGCAATTATTACGTTGTCAATAAAATGTTAATTTTCATCATGGCTCATGTTTCTTGTTGCCATTCGTTATAATGGAAGGGAATCAAACCCTTAACCAAGCCGAATATTAACGCACCTACTTTCGTCACTTAAACTAACCTTAAGAACTACATTGAATGCGTTTAAATTTTTAATTTTTTATAATCTTTTTCTCTAAGCTATATGGAATGAGAAGTTAGTGAAGGAGGAGGATAACCAATCGCTTTCTCTATTGAAAGCCACTGGCTTGATTGCCGAACAAAGTCAAGCATGATTTTGTAACGTTATTGATGTCTCTGTCTTCTTGATTTGATGCTAAACAGCCTTCCTCTAACCAAATTAATTTTTTTCTTATTAAAGCCAACGAAAACAAGTTAGAATAGCTTTCCTTGGACATGACCATTGCTCATTGTCCTGGTCTGTATGTATCGTAAGATGCTGCTCTTCAATCGCTGGCGTACGGGGGCTCTGCCCAATTATTTCAAGAAAGAATATTCACTAGCTTAAAATCTATTTCTAAATTAGAGTAAAGGGATTTGATTCTTGTACCCCAAAAGAAAAAAGAAACAAGCACAGAAAATTTGCACCAAATTTCGCCCTGCTTTGAAGGGTCATATCTATAGAGACTGGATATCAAACAAGAGATCAATATTACCCTACTTGTTTATATAAACTTACTTGGTTCTCTTTGGAAGTTTATTTTCATTATTTTTCTCCAGTTTGCAACTTTTTCAAAGTACACTCAAGTTCCTGGTTATGTCTTTCAATTTATTTGTTTGTAGAAAAGCAACACCAAATTGTCAAGTTTGGTTTAAGATAGTGAGACTTGTTTTAGTTGGTTTGAGGAGTCCTTCAAGACGTTCTTGTTTTTTATAATTCTATGAGTCGGGATCAGACATATTATAGACTCAAGTTTGTCTACGATATTATATTGTATGGAGATTATATATCTGCATTTAATTAAAAATCCTACATACGTGAATATATTTGTTTGGTGTGACATTGATGTATGTAAACCCAAATTAATAACCCACCTGGAGAAAGGTCTTTGTTAAAGTGTTCATGATGCCAGTTGTGATCAATATATATCCAGTGGACTGTCATGTACAGTACGTTTGATCATTGATCAGTCAAACATAATTAAGTAAACATATAATTTCAAAGGAACCGCTTGACTGTGTCAACTCTGATCTAGCATTAAACAAACCAGTACTGTTCAAATATAAAATTAGTTTTATCATATATATAAGGAAGATGTAAGTTAGGCAAATTATTCAGAGAGATAGCCGTTGTATTATATTATTGTAGCAAAATGAACGGGTGATCCATGTTCCTTCCCAGCCTACCATGCATATATGTCTGCAGTCTCCGGGGGGGCCGCCGGCATTAATAGTTAGAGACAGGGGTCAGGTTTGAATAACATTGGACGGTCCTAACGAGAAAAGCAAAGTACTAGTTAGCCCAACAACACCAATCTTTTGGTTTTGAGCAAACCAGAAGCTTTAATTATTAACAGCAAGGATGAGGGCCTTTTCTTTTTTTACGCCATCACAGTACAATGCTGCAGTTGTATGGTAATCATTTCCCTTCAAGCAATTGCTGACGCCATCACAGTCCTTGCCCTTTTTATCCCTTTCTTTATTGTGGGTAAAATTAGCAACTTTTTTTTTATAAAAAATTGGGTCACAAAGTTAGAAAACAAAACAAAAAGATTTGGGTGATCTAAACACTTTTTCGCTTGCCTAATTGCTTCAATTCAAACCAACCAACCCTTCTTCTTATTTGTAAATTACAATTTCACATGTACATAAAAACCCTACCAAAAAACCATATATACATAAAGCTGTATGAGAAGTTTATGCATATGTATTAAATTGTAATAGATTTCGAAATTTAATTTAGGGACGAAATGGGTAAGAATAGGGCAAAATCAAAGCTATAAACATGGTAAAGGACTTGGCATATAACATTAGGGATGAAGACAATTTGTAGTGGGAGCAACTGACCCCGTTCGACATAATGTGGCTCTGTCATTGTCTAGTATTGTTTTTCTGTAACACTAGAAGGGAAACAAGCAGTTGATTGATCTACCTTAATCGTAACTTATATTCATTCCACCATTGTCACTTAGATTAAGCCAAGTATTTTTTTCTTTCCTTTATTAAGCATGTCCATGCACTTTTACCCTGTAAACTTTCATGTGTGGTAGTAGTGGTACTTTCACTCTTGAGTTTGAAAAAACAAAAAAGAAATTGGAGCGTTTGTACTGGGAGTTGGAAAATACATGCCGAGATTAAAGTAGTAGTAAAATTAACATTATTATAGCTAGGCATGGTGCATTTAAACGGGCCAGTGTTTGGCCATATAATTGCAAAGTCTCTGTGATTTTGACTACTTCAATCAAACTCCGTTCCGTCGAGGGAAGGGGAGAGAGTACACTACAGGCTACAGCAGACTCCGGCGCTAGCTCTGTTGCAATGTAAGAGAGAGAAGTCTTTAGTTAGTGTCTCAACCAAGCAAAAGATTTGGTCTTGAGAGTTTTTGTAAGACAGAAACGTTGGCATGACGTAGCCACCTGAACAAATATATATATACATAATGTATATAAATATATACTGATCCTGTATAAACAGTAGCTAGCTAAGCTAGGAAGCTGTTGTGTCATTAATTAATAATCTCATGTGTCAGACTAAATACCTCGTGCAGCAGCTACCTCAACTCCTGTTTCGATGTCAAGATAATCAAATCAAGCTTAAGATTGAGAAAAGACCAATTTGGATTGAAGTAGATTAGATTAGGCATGACGATTACATCTAAATCTAACTGTCAATTGGTCGTGTTATTTTTCAGTCCAACTAATTAATTTGATCTGTAGTTTGAGTTTCTGTTGAAAGCTATCATTTGTGTGACATTTTGTTGCTTAAGTCTTTGACTAGACATGTGTTTGTGGAGTGGGCATCCATCCAACCCTCTAATTTTACCCTAATAGTAAATAGTAAATACTTTTGCATTCATTAGATGTGTTGATAAATTTAATATGCAACATACCCGCAATCCAACGATCTAAAAATATGTTACCAACTCTCAACATAAAATACTTACTGGAACAAACCATACATTATTGGAGAATTTATATATATATATATTATTTTTCAACAAGACTCTTTCTTAAACAAGCTTTATAGAAGAGATGTCAATCAGAATAACCTTTTTTTTTAAGAAAGAAAAATCGACAAGACACTTTTATAAAAGGGAGATTCATTATTATTGAAGAGTTAAAAGTGAATTTAATTAGAAAAACATAATTAGTTAACAGAAACAAACCACACACTATTT